TAGTAATACCGTCGTCCTACCGTGAGCAGCTGTGCGAAAGGGCTCTTCGGCGACGCGCGCGTTTAAACGAAAATTATTAGATACCTGCAACGGCCGACCACATACAGTAGACTGGGAAGGACGACTATTACGGTGTGATGTGGAGGTCGATCCGCGTGTCGGTTACAAGGTGCATCCTCGATCTAACCCTGGCGGGCTGATCGGATCGGTGAAATCGAGCAGCGTCGACTTCATTAGAATTTAACGCTGTGTAAAGTGAGCGCTAAGTGGATCTCTTCGTTCGGCTGTCGTCCGCTGCACCTGCAACCACGATTTTCCGTGGGTTACCCTAACTGCAGCTGCTCGCGACACCTCACATTTTTGGTGTGACCTCGATCTCTGGCTATGTCACGCATTTTTATGCGAGCAAAATTCGTTTGCAAAATTTTGGTTTTTTATCAAAGATCTAATTTTACAATTAATTGAAAGATAAAATTGAAATTTCATAATTTAATTTAATTGATTGAATTTATCGTATGCAAAGTGTAAAATACATAAAATGGTGAGGCATCGGCAAGGCTGCTATTACAAAGCTTATCAGAAAATTTTGAGCGTATAAATATGAGTATCTCGGGTATCATGGGTTATATTTGTTTTATTTTTATTTTATCTGCAAATTTATAACTACTTTTTTCATGGATTTATCTCATAGGAAACGTTGAGTAAACGAAGAGCACGTTGAATCGAGCGAATGTAACTAATAGTGATAATAATTAATAACATGTACTGATGTAACGCATGTGTAATTATATCGTTTATATAAATTATACATTATTAGCGTTGCCCAGCAATCTATTGATCTAGTTTATTAATCATTCCGTAATATTCCAAGTTTATGAGAAACGCCAATCTATATCTAATAAACATACCGTGGGTGGACGGTACCCTATAATCGCTATTATTGGTTGCATAACCTGCTAATCGGAACCACATCGGTTACAAGATAACTTTATCACGTGTATAATTCGATTTACGTGCACTGTATCGTCTATGCTCGAAGCTAATATATATGTAAGTTTAGCATGAAGATAATATCACTTTAATTATTCATGTTTTTCCATGTCACTGAAGTCCGTTTATTGGAACAAAGAACATATATATTCTCATTTTATGTATTTATATTAACGTCGAATATAATTTTACTTCGGTAAAAATGTATAATTTGCTATAATTAATAATTTAATAAAATATAATGTGGCGGAAATGACCGATATATAAAGTCATGTGTAAAAACTACACTAATATTAATAACGCTAGAAAAATAATTGTTCTTTTTCTTCGGATAGCTCACGAAAAAGCTCATAAAATAATATTGAGATGAGAGTGGCTATCCAAATGGTTATCTGTAATAATAGCCATTTAATAGCCGTTAGTCTCTGAATAATCGAACGGAAAGCGCAGTATCCGTGAGTGAACGCTGTGGCAACAGTAGGATCCCCAGAGGATCTGGAGAGAGGAAAACTGAGAGAGCCCCACAAAAGCCGTCCGAGTACGTCTTTGTTTACTCCAAGCTATCTTCGTTCGCGTTTTCGTCTTTTCTCCGATTTCCCTCGCTCACTTTTGATTCCTCCTTACGGGGCGTCTCTGCTCCTTCGCTCTTCGAGTATCGCCAGTCCTTATCCCCTCGAATCGCCTCGCAGCTCTGAGAAGACTCCTTTTATCTCGACGATATCGCGTTCGTCCCCCTCTATCGTTTAAACAAACTTCTCTGTAATCGAAACTGAATCGATGGATTAAGAATCCAATTACGAATTTCTCACTCTCTTTCTCTCTCTCTCTCTTTTCTCTTGCTTGTTGTCTTACTCCGCGCACCGTAAAATCCCTTCAAATGTTGTGTAACCCTTACAGCAAAACGCGCACGATTGGTTAAATTGATATCCGCGGCCGGAAAGAATCATATAGGACGGGCGTTTTCCCGAAATACGTTTCCACTATTGCATCGACGCTCGCGATGAGATATCTATAGTGGCAGAAGTAAAAGCAGCAACAGCAGCAGCAGCAGCAGCAGCAGCGGCAATAAAGCTTGCTTTATTTTTACTATCCCTCCAGCCAAGTACCGCCCCGTATTTCCTCGAGATATTGACATATCGAGGGTGCCGGGGCTTCTCCTCTTAACGCCCTTTTTACACTGGCTCGGAATTTATGTCTTCTTCCTACTCTTCTCGTTCCGCCCTCTACTCTTTTCGTCCAGCACTCTCTTCTTCTCCGCCTTTCTATCTCGTTCCCATCCCGCGTTCTCTTCTATCTTCCTCGTCTTGCTTCTCATCGACGGTGACGGTTCCTCCTCTCGCACGCATCCACCAATTCTCGGCCATTCCTCGCATTTCTCGGACAATCAATCACGCACGCGTATCTCCACGTTTGCAGAATCAACCGGAAATCTCTATTAGAAGCCGAATCACCGCGGCCTCTTTTCTCGATATTCTAGATCGAATCTGTCGATTATTCGACCGTAGAATAACGTAGGCGCAATCGTTACTGGCAACGATCCATTCGTCGAATACTTTCTCGAACGGGAACGCCATTTGGATGTAAAATCACTGCAGATTAGGAATTCTGAGAAAAACGGATGGTGTCGAATTTTCTGGGCGGCAATCAACTCGAAGGAGGGGATAGTAATCTCAGATATGATAAGAAATTCGTGACGTATAGCTACCTGTCTACATAAAAATTATTGTTCTTATTGATATTTTATTTTACAAAAAGTATCATCTTTATTTCCATTTCATGATTATTAATTCTAAAATTACAAGTAAAAAATGTTTTATACTGTCACGGTATAAGATTGATCAGATGGAACTCGTAACGACATCTATTCAATCTCAAAGTGAGGTGTTAAAGACTTTTACCAAGGTCGAATTCCGCAGAGTCAGCTAACACGATGTGACATTTACGAACTTTTTGCGCAATCAGGCGAGAAGTTTTCTCTTCTCGCTCCCCTTTCATGGAGGACACCGTACGCAGTTCGGCAGACAGGAGGGGATCTTTATACTATATTAATAACTGTGTTTTTGCCGGTTCATCTAGCACGTTCGGAACATCGCTGGATGAAAGATGTGGCAATGATAAAAACGCGAATGCCCCGCGGATGCAATCCGGTCAGTGGACGCGGAAAAACAATGAACAACTGCTCGTCAACCTGCTCGGGGGTTGTATACTCTTGCCTGCCTGCCCTCTCTCCTTCTCTCTCTTGCTCTCTCATTTTTTGTTGCATTCCTATTTATTGGTACCATGGGACATATGGTGGCGTAAGGGTGCGTTGTATAAAAAAGGGCTACGAGAGGAATGTGAGGAATGGTGGAAAATGAGAGAAGCGCGAAAGAGCCACGAACACGACGGCGAAAAACGCAATATCGTGCCGGGAATGTCAAGCAGAACTACAGAATGAAAGCAGATCGAGTGGACGTTCAAAATCGTCCGACAAAGCTCGCAGACCGTCCACCAGGATTGAGAGTCTTCCAGTATGTAGCTTCGATTGCTGAAAAGCACACGACTGCGCCTCGTTACGGGCATTCGGTTACGACCGGAGGATTGTAGCTAGCGACCATGGTCGATTATAGGTCAACTTTATTTGACGTCGATGAATATACAGTTACGACAGTTAAACAATTCGTTGACGCGAGGTGTATTTGACCATTCTCATATTTCGCTATTTACGTATCGAGTATATAATCCCGTCGTATACATATCTAGGATCAATAAAGAGCCTGTGTGTAGGTTAATCTCGATGCAACAGCAGTATCAGAGACATTATTGACGACACAATACCGTTATCTTTATACGATATTCGCAATGTTGATCAAGATATAAATTAAGTATACCAAATATAATTTTATTCGGGGGGGGTTAAAAAATCCAATTTTTATACAAAATAATATTAATGAAAAATTCGTATCACCGATAATTAAAATTCCTATGCACCGATTAAAAGGTTAGGATCAATAATTCATAAAATTTTGATGGTATTATAAAAATCTCGATGGAAGCTATCGGGAAAATTAAAACATTTATCTTAAATTCTCTCTCTCTCTCTCTCTCTCTCTCTCTCTCTCTCTCTCTCTCTCTCTCTCTCTCTCTCTCCTTCCCTCCCTCTCCCTCTCCTCCCTTCCCCTCTCTCTATATGATTTTCTTTTTAAACATTCTACCTTCTTTCTATTTATCAAGACATTTTTATGGAAATATTACACGGAAAGAACAATTTTATTAAAATATCTAAAAATTTAAGTATATATTATATATATATATATAGATCTCTGTGTATGTGTGTGAAAATAATTTTGTTCATTAAAATAATTAGGCATATATTTATATTATATAATTATATTTATATAATTGGAAAACTCAAGCATGATGAGCAATGCTGGAAAAAGTTTTAACATTCTAGCAATGAAATAGCTTCAGTTGGAACGTCCTACTCTCTACATTTCTTGAAGTAAAATTTTACTCCAAAAGAGTGAAACTACCTGCATTACCACATTAATGAAAAAGAATGGAAATATTTGCACTATATTGTAGAAGAGTAAAAATATTTGTACTCTTGAATAAGAATGGCAGATTTTCACTTTTTTTGTAGTGAAATTTTATTGAAATTTACTCTAAAAAAAAAAGTAAGATTTTTTTTACTTTCACTCCAAAAGAGTGCAAATTTGCTACTTTTGTTTAAGGGTGTAAATACTTTCAATGTCTTTTTCTTTTGGAGATTTCACTCCAAAACATTTAAAGAGTACGTAATTATTTTGATAGTTCAACACAACTATTTTCAGATTTTTATTTAATTTAAATTTTTAGATACTTCAGCAAAATTCATCTTTTTCATATAATCTAATACTATCTTTCATTGTATTTAAATATGATTTTATTAACCGACTTGCTGCGCTCGTATATTACATAAAATGTGCGATATGAAACGAAAATGTTCTCATAAACGGTTTGTTTCATACTGACGTATATTTTTTTTCCAGGTCAAGTTGATCTCTGGACCCAAAGCACCACCGGCTGCGCCTGTACCTTTAATGCATCCAGCAACGATTGCGCGTGTTGCGTACCATCGGGTGGCTGCAGCTGCGGCGCAGCTTCGCCCGATAGATGCGCTCAATGCGGACTGGAACAGCATTGCGCAAATAGTAAGTATTACTAAATTAATCATGATTTACACAACAAGATTGAGTTTCTTGAAATTGTAATGTTTGTTGTAACATTTTTTACAAGTGAAGATTTCTTCATGTAACTATATTTGATGCAGACATTAATTAAAAACATTGTAGCTAAAACGACGCGTTGTACATTTTAAGAGATACATTTCTAACGCGCTTTAATCTGCATGCATGTAAAGCATGGCGCATAAATGCAAAACTTATTAATCTCGTAAGCAGTAAACGAAAATTCTTTCTCACTGTTGCTTTTGCCACTTTTTCTACCCGCTGACGATCAACTAACTGACGTATTTGTTCTCTCGGTCCTCTACGAGGAAATATAATTACGTCGTCAAAAAGACATAGACGATCTCTTTGAGTCTTTGCCATCGCTAAAAACAAGATTCACGCCATTAAGCCACTTGCCTCATACTGCTTCTCGTTTGCAGCCGCTCGTGTCGCGTGAACAAGTGGAAATTAAAGCGTCGCGTCGCGTCGCGTCGCGGCGACCGAGTCCTTTTGGAGAGCGGTCGTAGGACGAAGCGGGGAAGTGTGATTCAAAGAACGAACGGAGAAGCAAAAGAGATCGGGAACATTTATAAGAGGATGAACCCTTGGCAATGCTCAAAAGACACTGAGATATCTAAGGGAAAGAAAGCGTGATTCCGATCAAACGTTCGCGGCTCGCTTTGCACGATGGAATAAATCGGTATCGAAGAAATTACTTCTGCGTGCCATCCATTCGATCTTTCTTTCTTATAACTAATCATTCTTGACGAAGTTCTTATACTCCATCCATCTAACCTTTCTTTGCGCTAATTACGAGGAGCGATATTGCCTTCGCGTTCCATCCATCAAATTCTTCTCTTCTCGGATTTCTTTCAACATCGCAGGATATTCTATAACCCCCGTAAATGTATTTAGTTATAGTTAAAAGGGTTTACAAATTTTTTTTTTGCGCAAGCTTATAGAATTTTATTTAAAATATAAATAAAAATCTTGAATGATGCTCATTAGCATCAATAATATTAAATTATATTGTCAATTTATTTCGTGATATGTACTTTCAGTTTAGAACTGTATTTCATAATCAACAAATAATCAGCGCGCAGTTTGTTTCAATTAGAAAATGTAAAAATCCACTTTGGGCCAAATATGGCTCTCTTCACTTATTTATCTTAAAAATTTTGTAGCAAATATAAAAATATTGATTACTTTCGATAGCTTAGCATTTATAAATAATGAAACTTGGATTTTTTTATTATAAAGAACTAAGATTACGATAAAAGAACATTTAGTAAATCTGAAATTTTTATTAAAAAAGAAATCATTTACATTTTTTAGTAAATCTAAAATTTCATTAAGATTTATGTTTTTTAATATAAATTTAAACTCACTTTATATAAGAGAGAATCATAAAAGAATAATACTAATAGTCTTATGTCAAAAAGAAATATGCTACAAAACGGTATTCGCATCAAAATCACGAAACATCCTGTACAACATTCTACAGGAAGCAATTAAGAATCAAATTACACACTATGGCAGATTGCCTCATAATATTGCGCCAAGCTGTCGCGACTCGTCGTCGCCCAAACAACACGGTTGCACAGAGACGCGCCAATGAAATTGTACGAGTAAGAAAAATCGTTATTAGCCATCCATTTCTCTGCGCCTTTCTATTGCCATCTTCCTTCAGCACGACGATTTCATGTAAGACTATAAAAATTTGACATTCTAAAATAAAAATACGACTGAAATATAATTATATTCTTAATATTTTTGAAATATAATTATATTCTTAATTTTTTTTTTATAAGTTATAAGGAATGAAGAATAGTAGAGAATGTTTATCGGTACGATTACACAGTGTTAATCCAAATAAAATGCGACCGTATCATTATTCGATAGTTCGTATTTTTATACAAGCGCCATTTTGTCCCATTTCAGTGTGCAACATAACGTTGGACAGCAGGCAGCTGTTCAGCAAATCGGATCGTGGCTTCGGGCAAATAAAGTCGCCGTATCTTCAAGGGCCCTCGAGGTGTACATACAGATTCGTGCCGGATACTGGACAGCGGGTCGAGCTACAGATATATCGACTGGTGTCCATCGGTCGACACAACGGCACCGCGTAAGTAGCTTTTTGGTGATGCCTTTCTTTCCGTCCCCTCGTATCGCTTAACGACCTTTTGCGCCCCTGAGTTCCTTTATAGCCGCGACCGTAAACTTTATGGCGAAATATTCTCGGCGTCTATACAGCTTCCGCCTGACAGTCACATGCGTCTTTAAACTTGCACTCACCTCATGGTTGAGCCCAAGTAATTTTGAATACATGATAAAACATATGTGTGTGTGAATTCTTAAACGGCTTTTCAGTATAATATACTTGGTTTTTCCAATATTTTTTCAATACTTTATTCTCACTGTTTAACTTGAAGTTTTATTAATATAAATATACATTTGCTATTGTTATGTTTCTTAAGGCATTTCCATTGAAAAGAAACTTTATATTATATCCATTTTTATGAAAGTTATAAGCAATTATCGAATCGGATTGAGTATTATCTAATGTTTTGTTCCTGTAGTGAAGCTTCGAAGAGCTAAGGACATAACTTAAGATCTATTGGATATTTTATGTTATTTAAAAAGCACCCTTCAACAGAGTTTTGTGTTTTTTTGTTATAACAACAGATCATCTATATATATTGAAAACAAAAATCCAAAAATATTTTAAACACATTTATCTAACTCTTAAAATATTTTAAACACATTTATTTAATAATTTTCAACTTTTCAATTACAAAATAACCATTCGTGAAACCTCCGTCTTTACTTTTCTCGTTTGTGTAAGTAGTTGAAGAGCGGACAGCGCGGACCGATATGATTGAAAATCGCTTTCGTCGATGGTCGTTTCAATTTATCATACTTCCGCTCTTACGAGACGATAGCTGGGTTCTCAAGTCCCTCTCGACTATGGGTAGAAGGAGGAGCTGAGAAGTCACGAGTAATGCCGATGGAACTACGAGAACTCGGAGGGTTGGGGAGAAAAATTACTGTTTTCAGAAAGCCCTCTGGCATCCCTAAACCCCGCCATACACGAGCTCGTCCACTCCGACCACGTTCACGGACAAACTTCGTGGCGGGCGGGAAAGGCCTTCGACAAGCCCTGGAAAAGTTCTTACAATTTTTCGACAAGGCTCTTCAACCCCAACCCTCTCGTGCCACGACGGCCAAGTCGGAGCTGGCTTACGACGCGCCGAGCATCATACGAGCTTATTCTAGTAGCTTTTGTTCCCGTTCCGGAATACGCAAAACTCGCGCGACTGTACATATTCACGAAGTAGATGTGTGCTTACGGTGTGTGCGAGTGGTGGTGGCACGAACGAAAAATATACGTCCGTACTTCCCTTATTGCTATCTTTCTTGAGAGAAAATACATTTCCGTTAAATTTTCAACGTCAGTCCTGTCGCCGTGTCTAAAAATAACTTGTTCAAAAATAAGTTTGTAAATCAATTACTATTAGTACTCACGTATTCGACAACATACATTGAATCTAATAATTTTACTCGCAGAAATAAAAATTTTTTAAATAATTTTACGTTTTATTCTTGGCAAAAAATGTACGTACATTTTATAAATTAAGAGAGAACGTTCAAGATTAATTTTCTCGTAAGAATTAAAGCCTTAAAAAAATATTGTCGGTCCTTTTGCATTTTTAGAGAAGTCTGGAGCGCGATTAAACTCCTACATTACTTGTAATGTGTAAAATATAAATCTGCATAATTCTCATATTACACTTTCAAACAATAAGAGTGTACTAAATGACCACTATCCGTTAGAAGCTAAAAGCGTTGCGTTAAACGCATATAAAAAATGCAGGAGCCCACACTTTAAGTCCACTTGTTAGCGAGGAAACGGCTGGTAAGCTGAGAGCGAAAAATACCGTTACTCTTGCCTGCACGGCTCAGATCGTTCACGTTTCTTTCGTTTTCCGCACTGCGCTCTGAGAAACTGCAACGACCGGAAGAAACAGCGCCGCCCACACGAATCGTACCGCGCAAATCTTTCTACACGGAAAAATATTGGTGCTTGATCGGCTTTATCGTAGAAAATCCTGCGAAATTTTAGTATTACTTCTGAGCGGAATCCTCGGGAAATTTTGCGGGCCATTTGCGACGCTCCTTAAAAGTCGAGGCGAGAAATATCACGCGAAAGTCTGAAGATATTCGAACAATCAGCAGATAAGCTCCAAATTTCATATTGTGTTGAATTGTTTTTTCGTGTTATTGAAAGTTAAACTATGGCAGATCGATATCGACGGTGCGCGAGAAAAATATATTTGCATGTTAAATCTGTAATTAAAAATGTATACTCTAGATTTTTAGTAGATAATTAGAATGATAATATATTTAAATGAGTATTTTGTCGTAAAACTTTGTTTGCTAAATTGTGTACACTTTTTCGTAGTTTACGCAACGCATGACGCTGAATTAATACCATACCGGACCGTAGCAGGACGGAGTTGGTGGAAATATGACAAACGACACATGTTACATGCGCGGTCGTGTAATACGTATGTAGTTCATGCTCGTTAAGTTATAATTAATGTAACTTTCCGAGTTGCACTATGTAGGACGCCATAACAGGTTCCTTGTGTTGTTCCGTATCACGTTTATCACATCCTTCAGAAAACAAATAGTTGATTACTGATTATGAAAAATTATGTTATTATAAAAAGTTTTAACGGCTAAACTGCGCCAACACATTTTACGAGAAAAAATATTATATACAATAAATATAGATTTTTAGAAGCTTTATTAAAAAGTTATAATAAAAAAATATATAATCTAATAATAACATCTGGCGATCTTGGAGATTAAGAAATTATGATACATCGGACAATTATTTGTATCCTTTGATATATTATTAGGGAAACTAAAAATATTTCTTTTTATAAACGTTGTTTCATTAATACGTAGAATTCTTAATGAAAATAATAATAATCTCTTGTATCTCTTGTATGTACTTCATAAAACTGATAATCAGGAGAAGAGGATGAATTAACTCGACAAACATTAAACTTTCCGTCTGCAATCATATTTTTACTCCCTCCGTCTACAATCTGAGTTTTTTATCCAAATTTTTTTGTATTGTTCTAAACTTTCAAAAAATATGAAAACTTTTCAACATCTCTATTACACTACCATATGTAATTTTTAACTCAAATATTAAATTTTTAGTTGTAATAAAAATTGAAATATAAGAGAGAAATTTTTTTGTGCCAAAAAATCCAGATTGCCAAAAATTGCCAAAGAATTAATCAACTTTATATTGTTAATAATAAAAACCGATTTCTTTTATTTAAGATAGATTTTATTTTTTATTATAATTTTTTAAAGCTTCTATAAACCTATGTTTATATGACATTCTTCTTACTTTTATCTGTAAGACATATTACGTAATTTGACCAGGAAAAATCCTGTATACACACTGTCTAAAAGTAAATCAGTAACTTCAATACTTATACTTATAAATAATGTAATTATCAACAAATATTTACTGTTTTTTAATAATAATACACTGATTTACTTTTAGAAAGCACGATTCACTGAAAAATTTATTGTAGTTTTTTTTTAGGAAAGTAATAGATTTATTTTCTTTTAAGAGGAAATGAATCTAATCTAAATTAGATTTTTTTATTAAATTAAATGTCTCAGTGTAGCAGTTATTGCATTTCACAGATATTTATGCTTTGCACAAGTTGCGTTTATATTGTCCCTTTCTCTTCTCAACAATTGCTGTCTCACGTACGCAAATCGTCTATCTTACTGCTGTCCCATACAGTTGGACCTTCCGGGGTCCTTCTCGAGCACTCATAGAAGCTTGATAATAGAACGTGAATTTCGAGAAATGGAACAAAGCGCGGGCCACTCGGGTGTCTCGTGTTCCAGTCCGAAAACCGGAAGATGTAGGTGCTCCTAATCCCGAAGGCCGAGCCATGGTCGTCGCAATGTACGTGTACGTTCTCGATGAGACGCAATTGGGTCAGGTCCTTCGGCTGGACATGCACTTCATTCCGTGAACGTCTCTCGAATGACCTGCACGGTGCGATTTCAGATCTGATGTCGTATTAAATGACTTCTATAGTCAGAAACACTCTCGAAAATCGAAAGCAAAGTCATAATCGAATAAGATCTCTTCTCCACAAAGTTGTACGTTATTGTAACAATTGTATAATTCTACAGTGCTTGCTAACGAAACTATTATTATAATATACTCTCACAACAAAGAAACTTTGTTAATAAAGTACGGTACTTAATTAACGCATTTTGACATTTGTCATAATAAAAAGTTATATTTTTTTATTTAATATGTAGATAAATAATTCATGTAAATAAAAAGAATGATTTTGTTGATGTAATTAAAAAAATTTTGTTAGATACAGATCTGAAAATAATTTTGTTGAAATATTAAAATAATTATGTAGAACGTTCAACTGGTTGCTAAAACATCTTGTAGTATTGCTCATCATGCTTGAGTTTCCTATATAATTATAATTATTTTGCTAGAACAGAATTATATTTTCAGATCTGTATCTACCTAAAGTTTTATACATATAGAATAGAATAGAATTTATTACACTTCAGCATTCACATAGCCAAGAAAGGGAAGTTTTATACATATATAAATTTTTATATTTTTTAGTAAAATCGATTCTTTCCGTGTAACAAATATCAATACGTGATTTTTTTTTCTTTTGATCGAAAAGTGTTATAATAATAGATAGACTAAAGCTACATCAAACTGCATATAAAGCTTAGTTAGAATTTAATGCCACAAGCATAATTCTCTCTAGTTCTCGAGAATTGATTTGCGCGAAAACAGCGCGCGGTACACTAAATCCGCAGAGATATCGCTCTGGACGTACTCAAATTAACCGTGTAGAATTAATTTACGGGCTTTATTGAACATTGTACAAATTTCATACTTTCCCACTCGTAAACTTTTGACTGTGCGTATTCTCGAAAATTAGTTCGCACAATACAACCGATATATGAACAATACATTGATATTTACGTTGTTCGAGATCGCGCAAATTAAATACAGAATATGCTATCAATGTTCCAGGA